ATAGGATCGAGCTACAGGGAAGCGCTGCGGTCCAAGACGTCTTCTTGGGAAACTTAAATCAACAGACTTAAGTCAAAATAACAAGTTGCATGACGATTTAGGTTCGCAAATACACTCTCTACAGTGGCCTCTAGAAAGACAATCGCATTAATGTCAAAGGAGATATATTATCTCTGCACTGTATATTCAGCACTCACCCCTCCCGCTTCCTTCGCTTAACCAAGGATCCAGCCAGCAAAAAATACAACCCTGGACCGGGCGAACGGATCTCCTGGGATCTCCCTCCTCATTCCCTCCAGTGGTATTTGGACGGGGACGGTGGCCCAGAAGCGGCAGGTCATAGTACAGCACGCAAACCATAAAAATTAATGGAGTTACCCTTCTTCCTTTCGTGACCTCGAAGGGGGGAAAAAGGAGAAGCGTGAAAAGAATTAAACTTACAAAGCAGGGCGAGCAAGACCGGCTGCTGGCGCTGCTGCCGACGGTCAAGAGGATCAGGCAAGATGCCCGCTCCAGAGCCTTGGGGGAGGTGGATGGAGGAGGAACCCGGTTCCTTATTCCCTCTTGGACCTCCCAGCCCAGTTTTCGAAGGGATTTTGACTGCTGGTCGCTTTCTTTCCTGGCAAAGAATGAGCTTTAAGGGCTGAGCTTTAAAGACTCCACTCCGGCCAATGGCCCATGAAAGAGACTGCAGGTTTCTTTCTTGGCTCTTTCTCTCCGGCCCCCCTCCCCGCACGCCACCCTTTCCTTTCCCTTTCCTTCTCACCTCCGTGACATGGGGTGGGGGGGGAGAAAGAGAGGGTTTTTCGGTTTGGAAAGAAATAAAGCATTGTAGTGTGTGTGTGTGTGTGGGGGGGAGAAGGCCGGCGATCTAGCTTTGAACTTGGATCAGCCCCTCCGTTTCCTGCAGGGAAAGGAAGAAACTGGAAGTTTTTAAAGAAAAGCAAAGAGACCAGCCTGCGGGGTATCTAGCCGGAATGAACGGTTTTACCCCGCAAAAAGTATCCCGGACAAGCCGCGGAGACCGTGAGGCAGCGGGAGAGGGATTTAGAAAGAAAGAAAGAAAGAAAGAAAGAAAGAAAGAAAGAAAGAAAGAAAGAAAGAAAGAAAGAAAGAAAGAAAGAAAGAAAGAAAGAAAGAAAGAAAGAAAGAAAGAAAGAAAGAAAGAAAAGGGAGGGCGGTTGAATGAGTGCTTTAAACTTGTGACTGCTTTCAAAACTGGTTTACCCACGTTATGTCTATGAGAGAGAAATCACCTCCCTCCATTTTTGCTTAAAAACAAAACCAATAGGACCAAAGATTCTCGTCACAATTTCGTGGAAATGTCTCACTCAAGCCTGTAATTAGAATATTTCCGGAGCAGATATGACTAAAACCTCCGTGGAGTTTTAAAATACTCCGTGCCTGCTTGTGTTGTCTTCTAGATCGCAGAGCGCCGGCGAATGCGGATGAAGCCGCGGAAAGGGGACTCCGGCTGCCACGGCCGCCTCCAGCTTTGCTCCTGCGGGCCTCGCTCGAGCCCACAGGAGCGAAGGCGAACTGGGGCGAAAGCCAGGCCCAAAGAAACCGCCCTTTGCCTCTGCGATGCAGGCTGGCCGGGTCAACAGAAGGGCAGGGGGGTGGGCGGGAGCTGACCCTGTCGGATTTTGCAAAGTGCAAAGGGAAGTGGTGGCTGCTGGCAAAGCAGGCACTGGGAAAAGACAGGGCATGTGGTCGAGGAAAGAAGACTCAAAGCGAGGGAGCTGTTGAGCGGCACCTTTCCCTATGAAAATCTCTGGTCCTCGCTCGTCTGGTTTTGGGCGAGAAACTGCCCTGTTATATCTCTCTGTCCATATTTATCTCTCACACACATCTGCCAGAGAGACAGATAAAACCCGTTGCGTTTCAGCACAAAAATTTCCTCTGTGTTACAATACATCTTGATGACAGAATGAACACCTAATTCTACCAGGGCATAGTGTTGGTAACTATCTTCCTACTTCATTAATTCCGTGTCTGTCTGTGAGACATCTGATGAGTTTGTATGTTTACCTATATACCCACCTAACATAATTTTCCTTCATGGGGCGAATTTGATTTTGAAATAGGCCTATGCGGGAGGGCGAGAATGCAATAACAGGACAGACGTCTAAGCAAAGGTTCTGATTTTCTGAGGCAGGTTAGTTGGAAAGAAAGAAAACAAAAAACCAAATTAATAGCATCCCCATCTCCAAAGCTGCTTTCTTGGATCCCTTTCTTAGATGAACCAAAGGATTATTCGTATTCCTAAAAGGAAGAAAGAAAGGGCACCATTCCTATTATTACCACCACTGTGAGCAGAACCACTACTCCTTGTATCCACTTCTCTTCCTCCCCATATTGAAATTCCTCGCTGGTATTCTCCAGAAAATTCGCATAGAATTGCAGTTGGGGGGGGGATTATCTTTATCCACTTGAAAACAAACTCATCCAGGAACCAGATCTTTATTGACAGGAGTGTGTGGTAGGCATTCTTAAATCAGTCGTAATCTTAGAATCTGCGACATGCGACGTGATCCACCCGTGGGCTCACAAATACATCAGTAAAAGGTTACTGTGGCTGGTTGTTTTAAAATACGCCCCCCCCAGGCTCTGCAGCCGGGTCTGTGCCCGCTCTTGACAGCCACTCATGATTAACCCACTCTTTTCTTTTTTTTCTAGCCGGGGACATCTCTATTTACACTCATGTCAGCAATCTCTCCGTGCATCTGTATCTCATTGGTTTCAAAGCGGGAAAGGGGAGAACATGTTGATTTTAGGATATCTAGATCGTACCTTGGAATCTCTCCCTCCCCCAACTCCACACACGTCCAGACCAACAGCTATTAATTTGGTCTGATTTCAGATTGATCGCCATCGATACCCTCCCACTTAAGCAACCGCTTCTTTCCTCGTTTTAAAGAAGCCTGCTTCAGAGGGCCTGCTTTGCGCTTCCTTTCTTCCCTTTCCTTTCAATCCAAAGATACTGATTAGAACCTTCCTGCCTTGTTTTTCTTTCTCTGCTTCCCCGACTGGAGAAGGGATCGGAAAGAGACGCCAGGGCTTGCCGTGAGCTGAACCCCTAGCCTCGGTTGCTTTTCTCTGCCCTGTGCTCCACAGGCTGACCCTTTCTCGCCTTGGCCAAGAGGACGGTGTCCAGGGGCCCTCCGGGACTGGGGAGCTGGCGCTGCGGCCGCCTGGGGTGGAAGGGGAGGGCTAGGCGGGGAGGACCAGGGTAACGCGCGAGTGGCTATTAGCCCGGCGGAGGGGAGGGAGGGAGGCTTGGATTGATGGGGCCAAGCCGACCAATGAGACGGCGCCTGGAGAAAGGCGCCTGGAGAAACCGCTGTTAAAGGGGGCGGTGGGAGAGAAGCTGCCAGTCCAGCCTAGGAGCTAGTAGCGAGAGAGGCTGGGAGGAGAAGGGGTGGGGAGGGGGGGATAAAAGGCAGCCACAGCAGCGGCGCCCACCGCAACAAGCAGACGAGGTGGAGAGGCGAGGCGAGGCGAACAGAGGAGGGAGATTCAGCCAGCCCGGNCCCCCCCCCCCCCCCCCGCCGTCGCCATCGTCGCCAAAAAGAAGAAGGAGGAGGAGGAAGGACCCCATCGCTGCGCTCTCCCTCACGGCTGGAGCATCTTTATGGCGGGCGCGGGCCGTGCCTGAGTGGGACCCGCGCCGGACTGAGGGACGGGCATTGAGAAGAGCTCCCCCCCGCCTGTGTTATTGTTCTGAGCTGTGGGCTGCCTGTTTTTTTTTTTTTTTAATCCGCAACCTTCCTCCCTTCCCTCCCTTCCTCGCCTCCCCCTCGCCTCCCCACCTCCTCCCCAACTTAGAGTGTGTGTGTGTGAGTGAGGGAGATTTTTAGCGAGAAAGAGGCGCCGGATTCTGTGAGGAAACGGCGGCTGCAAGTTTGGAGTCCGTGAGGCGAAACCGAATGGCGGGGAGAGGAGGCGGTGGAAGAGGAGCAGGAGGAGGAGGAGGAGGAGGAGTAGGAAACTGACTCCCTACTGTGTGGGACAGAAACTGAAATATGCCAGGAAGATCCAGGGACCCACCAGCAATACTGTCTCCCCGGAGGACGGATGAGGGACGTAACGGTAGGGTTGCCAGCACTCACAAAACCTACAAAGATCTGTCCCTTTCTTCTCCTCCACGTGGGAACAAAGGACACAGCCAAGAGGAGCTAGGAAGAAATCACGTTGGACTTTGAAGCTCCGGGAAAGAAATCCAAGGACTTTGGAGGGGCCCAGAGAGTCTGCTTGTGTAGTGCGAGAAAGAACCGGCTACTACTCTGTGCGTGTGTGTGTTTGTATGTGGTGTGTGTGTATGTGTGTGTGTGCAGCGCGCGCGCGCCTATATATCTCTCCTGCCTGTTGGCGAGGGAGAGGCTGTTGGTGTGGCTGCGCCGCTGACATCTCTTCGCCAGGAGCTTGTGTGGGTGCGCGCGCCTTTCTGTTTTTGTTTTTTTGTTTTTTTCAGGGAAAGGCAAGGCGAGTCCGCGCCATCTCTCTCCCTCTCTCTCCCTCTCCCTCTCTTCCCCCTTCGCCGCCTCCCCACCCACCGCCCGTCTCTTGTTTCTTTCCCTTCTGCGTTCCCCTCTGCTCTTCCCCACCCCA